TGTTGGGGCCCCCGCGGGGGTCCCCCCGCCGCTCCCTTCCTCTCCCCGCTCCGGTTCCCGTTTACGAAACTGAGAAACAGCCTTGGCCAGCGAAAGTCCCGCCGCGCGCCGACGCCCGCCTGTGCTCCCAGCGCCCGTCGTCTGTCCCGCCGTTCGACGGTGGGAGCAGAGCCCTAGCCCGACCGCTCCCGGCCCTCCTGCCCGTCTGCGTGTCCCCATCTCCTCCCATGGCCCGTCTGTCCTTCCCGAATCTCTCTGGGGCCCTCTGTCCGTCCATCTGACCTCACACCGTCTGTGCTTCCCCGTACGCCTCTCCCCTGATTTCTGCCTCGCCCTCCGCGTGCTCTTTCGCCCCTCCCCCACCGCCGCCCGTCGCCCCCTGATCCTGTCCCTCCCCAGCCGCGCCCCCGGCCCACGCTTGCGGCCCCTGCCCGCGCCTCTCCTTTCTGCCGCCCTGCGGAGGCCAGGCAGCCCGCCGGGCCCCGCCTCCCCCTGTGCCTGGGTCCCAGCCGGGCTCGACTCGCGCGGTGTCTCCTCCTCTATCTCTTCTTTCTGTCTCAGTGCCTTTCTCGGTCTCTCCATCTGCCTGGCTGGGCATGGCCGCCGTCTCCAAGGTCCCTCCTTCCCGCCCCTTTCGTCTGAGCCCTCTCTCCTGGTGACCCCGGCTGGGTCCGGTCTGTTCCTGCGCGCCTACCCCACCCCAGTCACCGCTCCCCATCCCCCACCTCACTCCCTTCCCCCCATCCCCCCTCGGTGGGGACACCTCCAGGTGAGGGGAGGAGGGGAGCAGGAGTGAATCCAGCGACCCTGCGAGCTCCCCCCACCCCTCACTGTGGAGGAGGGTAGAGCCTCGCCCCGCCCCACTTCGGCCTGGTCAGAGGGAGTGGAGGTTTGCGTGGAGGAGGTCCCCTCCTCCTCTGGCTCCTACCTCGCCACCATGGACCCTGGCGCCCTGTGCGTGTGTGTCACCTGTATCAGAGCGTGAGGGTGCATGTGTGTCTGTCGTTTTTCACATGAGTGACTTGCCTGTGTCTCCTGAAGCTCTGTGTGTGTGTGTGTACACCTTGGTGTGTTGTCAGCAGACTCCCCTCTGTGTGTGTGTGTCTGGAAGATCCCATGTTACACATCGGCTGTCTCATGGTGACCATCTGCCTGAGTACTTTCGAGCTGCTTGTTGTGGGCGCCCTGGTGTGGGGATGCCAGCCCCCAGGGCCATGTGGGAGTGTGTGCACTCACGTGTGGTTCTCCCTCTCCCTCCGCACTGAGCTGCCGGGCCCAGGCCGACCTGGTCACCAAGGGAGGGGACAGGTCCTTGGGTTTCCTCGTTCCTGCTATGGACCAAGGGGTGTGGCGGTGTGGCAGCAGAGGGTGGCTGTGTGTGTGTGTGTGCGTGTGCGTGTGTGCGTGGTGTGGAGTGCCTAGGCGGCTGTGCCTGCCCGGGCTGTGGGGGAGCAGATGACTGGTGGGAGACTCACCGTCTGACTGTATGAAACTGCAAGTGTGTGCTGGGGAGTGACTGCGTGTGGGGAACCGAGAGTGCCTGGACGTGGGTGTCAGCGGCAGGAGGGGTGTGACAAGGTGTGTGGTGACAGTGCTGTAAGAGAAGGTGAGAGCCCTGTGTGTGTGTGTGTGAGAGAGAGAGAAAGAGAGAGAGAGAGAGCGCACCCATGTGGGAGACTGAGGGTGTGGGTGTGCTCAAGCCCAGGCCTGGTGGTCCTGGGAGGTGCAGAGGCCAAGGCTGCAGAGCAGGTCCCAAGGTCTGCAGGTTGGAGCTGAGGTCCTGGACCCAAGGAAGGCATGGGCCCTGTAGCTGTGCTGTTAAGAGCAGGAGCCCAGCAGAAGGCTGTTCCTTTCCATGCAGCATGGAGAAAGTTCTTATGAGACCCGGAGGCCTTGTGTCAAAGGTCCTTGAGCTCAGCCTTGGCTCAGAGAGAGCGTGAAGTCTCATTGGTGACCACCCCCCAGCTCTGTGGTCCCATTTTCCTGGGGGCTGGGCTAATGGAAGCCCAGGTAGTCCCCCACCGGGATTCTTGCCTGCAAGGTATCTGTTACTCTCTTCCAATCTGCTTGACCAGGCTGTTTATACAAGGAGCGATGCCCTGGACAGAGCCCCCCACTCCTCAGCCCTGTTCAGCCTGCGTGACGACCCCCGCCCACCAGCCCCCAGTCTCAGTGATGGGGACAGAGTGAGGAGGGATGACTGGGAGCTGCCACTGCAAGGCACTGGCCCCATTTAGCTGGCACAGCAAATTGGAGTTTAAATTAAAATCAGAAATGATTTGGAGTCCAGACAAGATAATGTGAGGCTGTCTCTGACCCCAGGGAGTGCTGTTGGGGGTGGTCTCCAGCTAGGGCTGGGGCTCGCTCTAGAAGGGAGACTCTTTTGTGGAGGATTGGGCTGGCCTGCAGAGAACATACTCAGACATTTGGCCGAGGAGACCTAGGGCACCTTGCTGGCTTTGCCTCTCCTCCTTCCAGAATATCTCCAGGCTTCAGTTCTTTCTGCTGTATAATGGGCAAGCAGTGATGTGAGAGTCGCCTAGACTGTGAGGTACAACACAGGGAATTAAAAAGTGTCCCTGTCATGAGATACTATCGATGTGAGTCTAGTGCAGGAGCTGGCACGCCTCATCACTGGCACCTCGGGACCACCTGGGGAACGTGTGCCCTAGTATTTTCCTCATTTAAAAAAACCAAGGCTCATGACACCAGCAGATGGCGTAATGGTTACGTCGCTGGACTCCCACGTAGTTGCCCGCTGTTCGAGTCCTGGACCCAGCGGCTAGAAACATGCTAGGCATGTACTTGTGTGCCCAAAGTCCTGAGAGGAGAATGGAGAAGAAGGGAAGTGGCCATCTTCTCTGGAAAGTGATTTCTTGCTTTCTGTCTGTTTCTCCAGTGAAACATGTGCTTTATAGCAAAAATCTCTCTTTTTTTTTTTTGGAGAGGTTTTCGCTATAGGGCGCGTGCGCTTGCCAGACAGACAGAGACATAGAGACAGAAAGCGAGAAATCATCCCCCAGGTGGGATGGTCACGCCGCAATCCCTTCTCCTCCATTCTCCTCTTGGGATCTTGGGCACGCAAGCACACGCGCATGGTGTGAGCTTTAAGCCACTGGGTCCGGACGCGAACCACGGTCGACTACATGGGAGTCCAGCTACATAGCCATTATGCTAACTGCTGGTTCCTGCAAAAATCTCTCTTAAGAGAGAGAGAGAGAGTGTCAAAAGGAGTAGCCCCATGCTATGAAGTGGTGGTATCGGATTGCACCCTAAGACTCCTAAGCCCACAGGGCCACTTCCCGCAGGCCGGAAGGGTTAAGAGCTGCTCTCTGCTGTGCCTGTGAGCTTCCTCAGTAGACAGTCAGTTCCAAGGGCAAGGAAAGGGTGTACCAGCCCTTGGCATGGAGTGGACACATAACCAGTGCCCAGGAAAGCTGGGCCCAACACCCCCTTTCACAGATGAGAAAACCAAGTCCAGAGAGGCCCATGGTTGCAGTGCTGGGCCAGGCTGCACGGGGCCTCTGTTGGCCATGCTGGGCTGACATGGGGAGAGCCTGCTTGGCAGGGCCTCCTGGCTCAGCTGCTTTCTCCTGTTCCCGCAGGTCTTCCGGAAGCCAGCCCAGGCAAAGGCAGCAGGCCTCTTTCTCCTGGTGGTTGGTGCGTGGCAGTGGCAGTGGCAGCGGGAGCTGGGAGCCCCAGGTAGGCCTGGGTGCTCTTGGACAGATGGACGTAGTGAGGGGTGGCCTTCCTCTTTGGCTCCTCCCTTTCGGCCATGGGACTCGGGGGAGGGGTTGTTTGGGTGTTTGCACACAGAGTCCTTGATCTGGGTGAGGGGCCTGGGTGCCCAGATGAGGCAGTCGCTGGCCCCACTGAGAGGGGCTCCCTGCCTACAAGAGCTCCCTGCATGGAACCTGGCTCAGCGCAGGGGAGGCTTTGACCTCAAAACTGGTGGCCTGGGGCCCACCAGTAGTTTGGGACAAGGAGAGGTGACACTTTATTGTCAGTTAGAAGGTGGCATGTGAGCCAAGGGTTGGGGGTGGGGGCATCAGCTTTTTCACAGCCCCTCGTATCTGCCTCCAGCTGTTCTCATTGTACACAAGGACTCCGGGGTTCCCAGAGCCCTTCGGGGGTGGGACCTGAGCTAGGAATGGAATGGGACAGAGTCTCCCAGCCCTGAGCTTCCTTTCACACCCCAGGTATCCTCCATTCCCAGCCTTTCCTCCTTCCCAGCCTCCACATTCGGGCATGCTGGGCAGGGTCTCTAAGGAATGCGGGAAGGGCCCTTGGTCATGTGAGAAGTCCCTCCGTTCAGGGCTAGCCTAGCCTCCTTCAGTCTCCATTGCAATGAAAACTGCCCCGTGAACTGCTCGTCCTGTCCAGAGCCAGTGAAAAGGGTTCTGGGTTTGGAGGTGGGTGTACTGAGGGCACCTAGACCTGATGCTAACAGTAGGGGTAGCGGTGGCATCGGTGGTCTTTTCCCCAGGAGCCCACTCCCACTCTGTGGCACCTGTGGCTCTTGAGTAGGCCTGTGGGGGCTGGGTGCTTGGGGCTGATTCTGGGTGGAGATGGGGAGGAGGTCAGGACCCTTACCTTTTGGGAGTTGGGGCAGAACAAGGACAGGGTCTTCACCAAATCTCCATCCAAAACTGCAGGGGAGAGAGATCAGGTCCCTTGGCTCTGGTGGCTTCTGCCCTCTGAAGTCAGGGGGCCAGGTCTTCCCACCTGCTCCCCGGGGACATCAATAGTCGGCCTTGGAGCTGGCCATTCTGCGCTCCCGAATGCCACCTACCTAACTGGTGTCGACTACCTAGCTGGTGTAGACATGGTATGTGCTCACGCGGGTGCTCAGAAAACCAGACTGTCCCAGGCATGCAGTCCACAGACTCGTGAGCGTCTGCACACACTCCACATGCAGGGCACGTGAGCACATAGGGGCTCACAGGCACCCCCTCTTGCACACGCTCACACACACTCACCTCATCACTGTCGCTGTCCGTGCACTCGCACACCTGCCCCTACATCACGCTCCGCATTCTGGGCCAGGAGGGGGTGCTAGGTAGGGTCGCAGCCCCCAGCCGATGGTGAGTTTCCAGGCCTGGTTGTGACCACAGGGGTTTGAGTGGCTGGGCCACACTGGGAGGTGGACTGTGCCTAGGCATTCAATAGCTACCCTGCCACCCGGCCCGGGCCCCCAGGCTGCCCAGGGCTTGGCATTGCAGGAGTGGGGCCAGGGCAGGGGTGTGGGGGGCAGGGCCGTGTCAGCTGTGCGGCACCGTTTGTGGTGATGCCGCAGAGGAGGAAGTGGGCTTTCTGGTCCTGGGCCAAGGGGGCTCACGGGCGGTCGGGTATCCTATGAGCGCCTCTGTCCCCTGCAGCGTCCATGTCTAGAGAGTAGAGTTGCTGGCCCCCAGGGCTAGGGAGGGAGGTAGACAGGGTACCCCTCTACTAGGAAGTCTGTCCACTTTCCAAAGCCGTGGCCCCAGGGAGCAGCCAGTCTGTCCGAGGCGTTTCCGGAGGCCTGCTTCCTCCGTGCTGCCCAGGAAGTGGTTTCGAAGTGGACTGAGCAGCCCTCTGGCTGTGGCTTGCCCCGCCCCCCCCTTGCCTGCTGAGGGGAGCAGCGTCCAGCCAGTGCGTGAGGCCGGCTGACCAGACTTTCCGTGGCCAGGGCTGCCCAGGCTTTATTAGGGGCTCTAGGGGAGGCAGGGGGCTGAGGTCATGAAGTCTCTGCAGCCCCTGCCCCTCCCTTGCCCCATTGGAGCGGAGCCTTGAGCCAGGCTAGAAGGCATCTGCCTTGGTAGTGCAGCCCCCTGGGGAGAGGTGTCAGCTGGGCCACATCCCCGGGGAGAGGCAGCTCCAAGCCACTGCGCATGCGAGCCTGGGCAAGTGGCTTTGTGCTCAGGGCCTCAGTTTCCCCTCTGACAAATGAGGTAATGATAGCATTCGCCTTTATGGGGTTGTGCCAGAAACAAAAGGTACCGCATGGGTCCAGCGCAGCCAGCGTGCTGTCGGTGTGTGGCGGGTAGAGCCATAGTTTCGGAAAGCGCTCAGTGCCTCGTTCATTGCACCTGTCCCAAACACCAAGTGGTGCTGACGAGGGACTCTTGTCTGCGGGCTGGGTGCTCACCCAGTGTCCCGGGCTGGCTGGCCGCAGAGCCTGGGTGAGATGCCGGGCTCCGGCTCCCTCATTGTCCCTCGATTCTGCCTCTGATGGCTGTGCCAGGGGGCGGAGAGGGCTCGTTGGTTCAATAGGTTCCACGTTCTCCGAGGAGAGGAGCTCCAGGAGGAGCAGCTGTGCCCACTCAGCAGCCCAGCCCCTCCTGCTTGTCTCCCTCTCATTCCTTTCAAAGGGAGAAAAATAGATCTCATGACAAATGGCTGCAGGGAGGGAAAGGCAGTCTGCAGCTGCCTGCTGCCCCCTGGGGCTCCCCCGGCTCTTCCGGCTCTGGCCCCCTGCGGGACACTGGGCTCAGGGAGCTGCCTGGGAATGAGGAGTGAGTGGTGCACCCTCCTGCCAGCCTGCAGATGCTCCCTCCCAGTTCTGCTCACCTCCAGGGGGACCCGGGCTTTGGACCCCTGGAGGCAGCCTTTGGGCTGGAGATGGGGGGCTGGAGTCTGGGCTGAGCACAGGGAGCTGGGCCCCTCCCTGCACACATCCTTGTCTGCATCCGTGACACGTGGCAGGGGGTGACAGGGGCCTGCCTGTCCAGGGACATGCAGGTCAGCCCACTTAGGGCTGGGCTGAGCTCTGGCCTTGGCAATTTGTGGCCAAGAGGCTGGGGCCATGGGTGTGGAAAAGTGGTAATGACGGTGTAGGAGGCTGGGGGCCGGAGGTGAGTGGGGCCTGGGCTACGGGTGTGAGCGAGGACATTCCGAAGGGTTAGGAGCAGCACTTCTGCAGGCGTCAGGTAGACCCAGTTAGAGTCCTTGCTCAGTGTTTACTGGCAGTGTGCCCTTGAGCCAGCGCCTCGACCACTCTGAGCCTCAGTTGCCTCATCTGTGAAATGGGCAGGTCAGGAAGTGCCCGCATGAGGCCTGAATGATGGGAAGAAGCCACTGTGTATGGCCCGGAGTGAGTGGTGGTGGGGAGGAAGATGAAACAGCAGGTTCCAATCGGGAGGAAATTTGACTGCTTGGGGAACCAAAAGGAGGGGTCATGGCGGCTGGGGTGCAGGGGTGAGGGAAGGTCAGGAAGGTGCAGGGGGGCAGGCCAGAGGAGGAGTCTGGGCTTATCAGAGGAGCAACAGAAATACTGAGGGCTTGGGTGGGGTGTGACCAGATCTGCTCTACTGTCATGAAAGGCACTACTAGTGGCTGGGACAGGGGACAGTGGGGCAGAGCGGAAGAGGACGGAGGGTAGCAGCAGGCTGGCGCGGCCTGCAGACAGTGGGGCCAGGATGGAGCAGACATGACAGCATGAATGGGTGTGTTAATGGGGGCTGGCAGCGAGGAGGGCGGACCCGCATCAGGCGTCTGGCTGAGCACGGGGTGAGCCCGGGTCCCCCTGGAGGTGAGCAGCACTGGGAAGGGGAGCATCTGCAGGCTGCTGGGCAGGTCTGAGTGCTTCTAGAACCCTTCAGGCGGTGATGTCAGGGAGGCAGGTGGGCCTTGACCCTGGGTTCAGGAGTGTCCCAGCCCAAGTAGAGACCGTAATGGGGAAGCGTGAGAGGCCCTGGAGCCAGGGCTGGGACAGCTGTCCCTCGAAGGTCCCTTTCAGGGCACCGGGAGGACAGGCTTGTGGTGGCGGAGCGGCTGTTTTCACAACAGCCCCGGAAGCTTGGATCATGTCTATGGCCATGTTGGGTAAACAGGCACGGTGGGGCAGACTGTCGCCAAGGCCCAGGGCCGGCTCAGATGTCCGCATGGTATGGGCTGTGGGGCCAGGAGTGGGACCAGGAGGAGGACCTTGGGGTCCCGCGGTACCAGGGCTGGAGAGAGCTTTAGTGGTCTCCAGGATGGAGAAGTAGAAGAGAAGGGATTGTGGCGCAACCATGCCCCATCAAGGGGTGGATGCTTTCTCTCTATCCCTCTGTTTCTCTGGTGAGAGCACACACCCTCTGGCAAATTAAAAAATAATTTAAAGGGGCCAGCAGGTGGCATGGTGGTTGGATTCTCACATTGCTGACTGGTTTGAGTCCCAGACCCGGTGACTTGAAAATCTCAACACATGTGGGAACAGCAGATGGCATAATAGTTATGTTGCTAGACTCCCATGTACTTGATCATGGTTCGAGTCCCGAACTGGGCAGCTTAAAATTCACACCAGGCACATGTGCGTGCATGCCCAAAATCCCAAGAGGAGAATAAAGAAGGGATTGTGATGTGTCCATCCTTCCTAGGGGGTGATTTCTTGCTTTCTGTCTCTGCCTCTCCAGCGATCGTAATTGCCCTATAGCAAAAATCTCTCCTAAAAAAGAAAATGAAAATCACAACACATAAATAGACAAATGTTGCAAAGATTTTTTTAAAGATTAATTTTATTTATTATTATTTTAATTCACCAATGAGAGAGAGAGAAAGTGAGAAAGCAAGCCATCACGTCTAGGACTTGAACCGTAGTCGGCCATGTGGGAGTCCAGCACCTCAACTACTACACTACCTGTTGCCTCTGATAATAATAATTTTTAAAAGAGCCTCCTTCCCCACTGGTCCCAGGAAGTTTGGTGGCCCCTCCTATTACCAAGGGTGGCTGGGGGTGGGTGGTAGGACAGGTGGCAGAGGGCTGGGTGTGGGCCCGAGGCAGCAGTAAGGGCGACAGGAGGGCTTCCATGTGCTTTTGCTGCCTCCTGCCAGGCCTCACACTCACCCCATGAGCAGAACATGATCATTTCCGTATCACAGTGGAGTGGTTGGCCAAGGGCACTCAGGGCACCAGATCTGAACCCAACCTATTCTGAAAGTCCTGTGTGGTGCCTGGCAGCAGAGGGACTGTGAGGGCCAGCGTGGGGGATGGACGGCAGCCAGCAGGCAGGTCAGAGCCTGGGGAGGGTGGAGAACTAGTTCCTCGGTTCGTTCCTCACGGGGTGGCACACCACGTGGGGCGGCCCTGCCTCCCTCGCCTTTCTCAGGATCGCTGAAGTGGGTCACATCTCACATCGTGTGGGCCTGCCCACCTGGTGGGGATGGCTGGAAGACGCTCAGGTGGCTGTCTGCTCTCCTGCCAAACACAAAACAATCATTTCCTGTTGTAAACAGGAGGATCGCAGGCAGTTTCTGTGAGAGAGAGAAGGGCTGATTGGGGAGCCGCCCTCCTCCAGGCACACACCTTCGCCCACCTAGGACTAGAGGGAGAGGACTCCTTCCCCTTCCCCAGGCCTGCGCCGAAGTGTGGCTTTGGTTAATCATTCCGTCTCTGTCCATTTCTGCACCGTGGGTCTGGAGCTCATGCAAGTCACGTGTGGGGTGCCCAGCATGGCTTCTCCCTCTGCATAGGTGTGAGTACCCCTATCCCGTGTTCCAAGCCTGCCCGCTGCCTGTGACCCCAGCCAGGTCCTCAGCCTCGCCAACTTCCCCTACAAACAGGCAGGCGACGGGCGGGCCTGCCCAGGGAGGCGCCTGTGCGGCCCACACCTTCCTTACACACTTTGGACTTTCCTCTGGACCAGGAGGGACTTTCTCCGCCTTCCTCAGAGGAGAGGCCCAACCTGGCCTCACACCAGCTGCCCTTCCTCCTCCTCAGCCACAGTGCCTGGGGCCTGCAGTACACAAAGCCACACTCGGACTCTCCTGGGACCAGACCCCAGTCAGGCCCATGTGTGAGTCCCTGTGAGTGCAGTCTGGCTGTGGCACCCATGTGCACGTGATGCTGTGTGGTCGGGTGTGGTCGGTGTGGTCTGCGTGGGCCTAGAAGGCCTGTCGGCACGTGAGAGCCCGTGAGTGGCGGCTGCTCCTGTGTGTGCTGCCACGTGGTCCCGGCAGTGCTGTGTTTCTGTGCGCGTCTGGGAAGCAGGGCTCCGCATGTGTACTGCTTGGGCCGTGGGTGTGCCTGTGCGCGCACACGTGTGTGGTTATTCTTGGAGAGGCCCAGGGGCACCCCCCCACCCCGGCTCCTCACAGAGGGCCTCTTGTCCTTGCAGGAGCTGGCTCTCTAGCTTCTGCCGTGAAGGGGCTTTTGTCCCTCCCTGGGGGTACCTGGCACCCTCTCTCTGGCTGAGCACAGGGCTGCCCAGTCCTAGGGCTAGCTGGGGGGATCCAGGCCTATGCCCCCACCCAAAGGGGCCTACCCTACGTGTGCTGGATGAGCCGATGACAGGGGGTCCCAAGTCCTGCTCCCTGACCCTTTCAGACCTGGCAGGGTGGGCCCGATGCTCCTGCTGACCCCTCAGACTGACGGCCCCTCAGACACCCCAGCCGACAGGCCCCTCCAGCCCGCCACCTCCCTCAGATCTCCCCCAGCCCTCCCTCCCTTCCACTCACCATCTTATGCTCCTCTGTGATTGCATGTTTCTGAGACCGTCCTCCACCAGCTGGGAGTTCCATGGGCCTGAGCGTCTTGTCACCAGGGTGACCTGGGGCTGGGATGGCTTGGGACCTACAACCCCCACCGTGTGCAGGACCATATTGTCACTTGCCTGGTCCTCCTGGCTGGCACTGGACTCAGGCCGGTGCCACCCTCTTTGCGGCTGCTGCCCTGGAAGCTGACTCCCACCGTATCCCAGCGGGCCAGGGTGGGCCGCGGCTGCAGTGGCAGTTGTAGTGTGTCCCTGAGATGAGCCAGACAACCAGGGCTGAGAAGGCTGAGCTACAGGCAGACACCACTCAACTGCACGCCCAGGTCCTCCCCAGAAAGCCGTCCATCGGCATAGGTGACTCGCGGGACACTGGCTTCCTAGGGCAGGGGGAGAGCCCCCCCCCCCCCCCGGCGCCCCCCCCCCCCCCCACTGTGACATTCTGGCTGAGGGAACAGCATGTGCCAGATGTGGGGGCTTGTTCCCAGAGCAGCCAGAGGTGGGCGCTCCAGTGCCGGGGAGGTCTGGGCTCTCTCCTAGGGCAGTGGGCGGGGCCTAGGAGGGCCCGCTGTGGGCGGGATGCATGGGGAGGGGCCGCTGAAGAAGGGAGGAGTGAGGACTAGCAGGGCTGTCTGTGGGGTGGGAGGATGAGGCCCCCAGTCCTGGGAAGAACAGGTGTGGAGAGCAGCCCCTGCCGGGACTTGGCCGTGACCTGAGGCCATTGTGGTCATGCCTCTGGTCCTTGTGGAAGGACAGGGCTAGCCCCGGGAGGGGCCCCAGGGGGTCTAACTTCCTCCCCACCCCCTTCCATCTCCTCTTGCTGAGCCCATTTCCTGCGTTGTGAAAGCTCGGACCTCCTTGCCTTGGTTCCTTCAGGGAGGCCCATCGGCCCAGCCTGCAGCTCTGTCATGCCTGGCAGGCAACACCATCTCTTTCTCTCACTGTCCTTCTCTAGTCAAATTAAAATAATAAAAACATGAATAAAGTTAAATATAATAATTCTAAAAAAAATGGGGGGGAACCAACAGTTGGCGTAATGGCTATGTCACTGGACTCCCTGACCCGGTGGCTTAAACTCACGGTGCACGCATGTGCGTGTGTCCAAGATCCTGAGAGGAGAATGGAGGAGAAGGGATTGCAGTGTGGCCATCCCCCCGGGGGGTGATTTGTCACTTTCTGTCTTTCTCTTTCTGGCGAGCGCACATGCCCTATAGCAAAAACCTCTTAAAAAAAAAAATAGGATTCCCACCCCCTGGACCTGCATAGGAGTACAGTGAGCTAATACGGGTACATTGTCGGTCTCCTGAAGGGCCAGCCTCATAAGTGGGGTCTGAGAGTCAATCTAAACCCTTTGACTCTGCATCCAGGAAAGACTCAGCTGGCCTTGCTGACTCTGAGGGGCTGGTCCCCAGAACAGTGTCTCTTGCCACCCCCATAACCCTGCAGAGCAATGACAAGTCAGGGGTGGGCCCTTAGCTCTGCTGGGGCCTACAGGCCTGGGCCCATTTGCATAGGGCTATAAATAGCCAGCACACCTCACTTTGTGCCATTGCTTCTCCCCTCGCGGGCCCACAGTTCAGACCCTGTGAGGTAGGTGGGCGACCTGGACGCCATCATGCAGATGGGAATCTGCCTCAGAGAGGCCCCGGACCTCTCCCAGGGTCACACGGTGATGTAAGAGGATGCCCGCTCGTGCCTGTCTGCATCCTGGGCTTTGGGGAGCACATCGAGGGCGGAAGAGGTGGTGGTACACCCTGGCTGGTGTCCACGCCCTAGTTTTGCCCTAATAGTCAGGGCTAGGTAATCCAAGTCCAGGGTTACTGCTGGGTAAGGCCGTGGCAACCCACAGAGACCACGGTCCCCCGTCCTTGTGGCACTGTGGCCTGGCTGTGCAGGCTCGGGGCCGGGTTAGGGCCCACTGTGGTTGTGGTTTTCTTTCCCGTGGCTTCTCACCGAGCAGCTATTGTGACCTGGAGAGTGGAGGGCAGCTCTCAGGGCGGCCTGCAGGCTGGGTGGAGAGGCTGCTCCCAGGCTCTGCCTCATCTTCCTGGGGGCTTTTCTGGCCCCATCTCCCCCAGGGAGAACCCCTGTTGGGCCAGCTCAGGCAAGGAAGCCGTAGGACCAGCCCTGGGGAGGTGGTGGGGAGAGGCTGGCCAGCTGGCGCTCGGAGCAGCCCGTGCTGAGGGATGCATTGCTGCGTGTTCCTGCTTTTCCCAAGGGGGAAAGGGACCGGAAACCAGGCTTGTGGTTCCAGGCTGCTGGGCAAGTGGAATGGATGAGGTGGGGGACATGAGCACACTTTGCAAACTGTGTGTGGGTGAGGAGTGCACGGGTGAGGGTGGGCGCCGCAGAGGGGGGCATTGTGACATCCCTGAGCCAAGGAGGGGCGGCTGTGGCTCAGAGTGACTGAGTGACCTGCACAGAGGCCCACAGCCAAGGCTGCCTTTGGGGTCAGGGTCTTGCCACCTGGACTGTCCTGATTCCCTCTCCCCAGGAGACCCAGCCCCCTGCAGCACATTCGTTCCTCATTTATCTCTGCCCGTGTACCCTGGAACTCCCACTCTGAGGGGTCAGCCCTGGCACACGGACACAAACCAATTGGCGTATTCTGGCATTCTAGACCGTAGGCGCTTGGTGCCTGAGACTCCTGGGCCAGGCAAGGCAGCAGGGGGAGCGAGGTGTTCTTGCCCGGAGGTTTGGGATTCTTACCTCAACTCCTACACACACTCCAGGCCAGGCCCACGCGGCTAGCTTTTCACTTCAAATGCCCACTGCATGCCACCCACTCGCACAGCCTCATGGGCACACACACTTCCACAGCTATGTATAGTCACACTCATGGAGAGCTGTCACACTACATGCACCCTCAGGCACACCCACACACACATCCAGGCGTGCTCCAGCCCAGGGGAGGGGCCGGCTGCAGCCTGCAGCTGGCTCTCCCCCTGCCAGCCAGGAGTCCTGGCCCGTGCCCTTGTTCCTGCCTCTTGGGGTCAGGCTGAGGGTTTTCGGGTCTAGGCTCGAGTCTGAGCTTGCGTGCCCACTCTCTCCCCCACCACCGAGTGAGAGCTAGGCCCAGGCTGGCTGCTGGCCTCTGAGGACCAGTGGGCCTGCTGGGCTGAGCTGCAGGCTGAGGTCAGAGTTTCCTGTGAGCGCATCAGGCCTGGAGCTCCCGGCAGCCCTGGCCGCTGCTCTGGCTGCCTGTGGAGGAGCCAGTCGTGGGGCTGGGCAGCTGTTGTGTATGTGTGCACACGTGTGTGTGGGCGGGGCCTGAGTCTGCCTGGCATGCCAGCTTATCTTCAGGAATGATGAGTTTGCGTATGTGTGCCCAAACGTGAGTGAGCTGTCATTCAACCATGGCTAGCGAGCACCCTCTTGTGGGGCCAGTGTCTACATAGGTGTGTGGGTGTGTGTACGAGGGTTTGCATGTGTGAGGATCGGAACCTGAAGAGATCCTCTGGGTCACTTGTCATCCTGACCCTTGCTGGGGAAGCGGTGAGGAACAGGAGGTGGGGCCCAGCCTGTGAATGTGCTCAGCAGTCAGCTTAAGTGTCAACATCAAGATACGGGTTAGGGGCCAGCAAGTGGCATGGTGGTTCAGGCGCTGGACTCCTACGTGGTTGACTGTAGTTTGAGTCCCAGGCCTGGCAGTTTGAAACTCACACCAGCACTTATGTATGCGTGCCCAAGATAATGAGAAGAAAAGGAGGAGAAGGGACTGCAGCGTGGCCACCCCCCCGGGGGGGTGGTGGTGATCTCTCTCTTTCTGGCTCTCTGTGTCTCCAGCGAGGGCACATGCCTTATAGCAAAAATCTCTCAAAATAAATAAATTAATTAAAGATATGGTTTATATTTGGGAGAGAAATGCGTTTGGAAGTGCGGCAGGCAGGTAGGGTCTCCTTGGGTCCAGGGTCTCCATTCAGAAGGCCCAGGCTCTGCGGGCAGAGCTCCCACCCCCAGGCTCTGAGCAGAGTGGGTACCACGTCAGTGGGATCCCAGCTCTCCATCCTGGCTCAGCTCGGGGGTCGGTTTCCCTGTCTGGGAAGTAGGATGTTCACCTTGGCCCTGCTTGTCTGCCTGAGTAACTATGAGCAAAACACCACAAACAAATAAACAAACCAAGGGCTGTGTGGGGAGGCGGGGGGACAGGGGATAGGCCTGCCCATCTTGGCAAGTGACTGTTGGCATGAGGGTCTGCAGCCAGCCCTGCCGGCTGCCTGGCACAGAGTATAGGGGCCCAGCAATGGGGTGCTAAGGGTGGCTCCCTGCATCATGTCTCAGGCTCACAGACACAAGTGCCTCCAGGGCCTGTTCAGGTTTTGGAGCAGACCAAGGGGGCAGCCACCCAGTGCCAGCTGGTCATTGCCCAGTGGGCCCAGTGTCACCTCTGGTTTTCCCAGGGACACCAGGGTGACAGAACTTTGTCAGCTGGCTCTCGTGTGTTTCATGCTGCCGGTCAGGCCACAGGGGTGGGTGCGGGTCCCCGAGCAGCTCCTGCTCATGGAGTTTTCTCGATGGATCCCACCCTGCTGCCTGGCCTCACCCCGCTCTCCTCCCAATCGCCTGTGCGCACAGCCCCGCTGCAGGCCCCGCCATGGCGCCATTCCTGCGCATCGCCTTCAACTCCTACGAGCTGGGCTCCCTGCAGGCCGAGGACGAGGCAAACCAGCCCTTCTGCGCTGTGAAGATGAAGGAGGCTCTCAGCACAGGTGGGGCCAGGGTTGGGCCCGCGGTGTGTGTGTGGGGGGGCACGTAGCAGCAGGAAGGGCCGGAGGGGGCCTCGCCTTGTTTCCTGGAACCTCCCTCGTCCTTGTCTCCCCACCCTGCCCAGCTGTGGATGCAGAAAAGCAGAGGCTACTGAGGCTCTATCAGGCCTCAGCCATCTGAGTCTACTCTTACCGATTGTTCCCATGTGTCCCTCTGTGCCATACCCTGTACTGGGCACTAAGGACACTGCCATGCGCCAGGACTCACCAGGCCCTGCCCTTACGAGGCTCACGGTCAGGTAGCGGAGTCAGACCCAGGAAGTCCTGTGATGAGGAAGGTACCCCTCCCAGCCTGGGGTCAGGGAGGACTTCCTGGAAGAGGCACACATTTCACAACATTCTCTCTTACTCCTGCCCTTACCTGGTGAGCCCTTGCTCATCTCTGAGATCTTAGCTGAGCTTCAGTAACTGGAGAGATGAATTAATTCATGGGTCCTGGGCTTCAGGTTTACGCCCTTGGGCTGTGTCTGCCTCCGTACTGTGGCTCGTGTGTGGAGCTCTCCACACGTGTCCACTGAGCGAATGTGGAGGGGAGGTGACGTTTAATTGGAGCTGGGAGAAGAGGGACGAGCAGGTGCAGAGGCCTGGTGGTGGGGACTCCAGAGGCACTGCAGGAGGCCTGTGTCCTGGGGAGCCACAGCAGGCGCTTGGCTGGTAGAGGCGGGCAGATTCTATCAGGACTGAAAGCCGTGGAGATCAGGGGAGGGCGGAGGGATGAGGGCCCTCGCCTCAGCGCTCCTTCCTGCCCCTTCAGAGCGCGGGAAGACGCTGGTGCAGAAGAAGCCGACCATGTATCCCGAGTGGAAGTCGACGTTTGATGCTCACATCTACGAGGGCCGCGTCATCCAGATTGTGCTGATGCGGGCGGCCGAGGAGCCGGTGTCCGAGGTGACAGTGGGCGTGTCGGTGCTGGCTGAGCGCTGCAAGAAGAATAATGGCAAGGCCGAGTTCTGGGTGAGCACACGCGTGCGTGCCTGTGTGGGCTGGGAGAGTGAGTCCAGCTGGGGGCACGTGGCCCTGCAGTTTACCAGATCTCTGGCCTCTCTTTTTCTGCATCTGGAAAAAGAAGAGCTACTATGAGTCCCTACCTTGGGGTCAGTTCTGATGAAACAGGCAATGGAGTCTAAAGGACTCCCGCAGAACCTGGCACGAACAGGTGCTAGAGTGCACCTTTGTTATGGGAACTCCTTTTGCCCTTTTGATTTTGGAAAGGCAGGATGGGCAGATAGTAAAGCATTTTGCAAAGGCGTATCCCTGCCCCAACACCAGGCCACCAGGCCCCCTGGCCCCCTTCTCAGAGGCACCCATTGTTCAGTTCTTTTTGGAATCTTTGCAGAGGTTCTAGGCACAGGCCACATCAGAGACAGCGTTCTCCGTAGCCGCAAAGAGGCGTGAGAACTGGGAGGCTGATGGGCCCGCCCACTCACCTGCTGAAACCGGGACTCTGCACACTCATGCGTCCACGTGGCCACATGCAGCTGGGCGTTCTGGGTGGCTGCAGTTGCGAGGACTGGCAGGACTCTTCTGGGGTTACACGTGGGCTCCCACAGCCAAGATGCTTCCCCAGACAAGGTCCTGTGACCAGCCTCTAGTGAGGGCAGAGCCACCGGGATGGAGGAGAGAGTGACACAGGGCTTCAGTGATGCATAGCCAGTCAGGCAGGAACACAGGGGACCCTGGCTGTGCTCTGAGGACGTCAGTCACCAGACTTGGGTCCTGCAGGAAGTACAGGAATAGAGGCTCGAGGCGAAGAACCTTAACACGGACCCAGCATGCGTGTGTTCCGATGAGTGTGTCTGCTCATGGGGACAGGGGCCTCCACTCTAAGATCCTCGCTCAGGAAGGCTTGGGTGGGGAGTTTCCCTTCCCTCTCTGTTCCCGGCCATGTGGCAGGCCTGGTGTGGGCTGAATCCTTTCACTTCCCCAAATGTAATAATACCCCCCAGGGTGGAGAGGGGGCGGGGCACAGGGCGGGGCCCTGCCCACACTGGGCAGATAGGTGTCTGGCTAGCCTTTAGGGGCTCCCTTGGCCTCGGGAGACTAGCCATGTTGGGGATTCTGAGTCTGGCCTGGCCCAGGCCCACCCTCACTGACCTTGTGCCCTCGGCCCCCAACAGCTGGACCTGCAGCCCCAGGCCAAGGTGTTGATGTCTGTGCAGTATTTCCTGGAGGACGTGGGTAAGACCTCGCCCGGGCTGGCATGGAGGGCTCACTGCCAGGCTGGCCAGAACCAGCCCCGAGGTTTAGCGAAGTTCCCTCCTCGGTGATCCATCCAGGGAGACCCTAGTGGGACTGCGGGGTGCCACCCCTCCCCGTGCCAGGGCTGACCGCACCACTCGGCGGCCCCCAGATTGCAAACAGTCCCTGCGTGGCGAGGACGAGGCCAAGTTCCCAACGATGAACCGCCGTGGAGCCATCAAACAGGCCAAAATTCACTACATCAAGAACCACGAGTTCATTGCCACCTTCTTCGGGCAGCCCACCTTCTGTTCCGTGTGTAAAGATTTCGTCTGGTGAGTCCCGGCTGCGCCTGTGGGAGGTGGGACGAGGTGGGGGAGAGCCCCAGCCCTAGGCCTCCCCCTTTCTCATCCTGCCTGGGGATTTGCCTTTCAGGGGTCTCAACAAGCAAGGCTACAAGTGCAGGCGTAAGTGTCCCCGTCACCCAGTGTGTGTGCACGTGTGTGTGTGTTCACATGTGCCACGTTTGTGTGTTTGGGGGAAAGCCTGTGAACGTGGGTTGAAATGGGTGTCTAGATGAGGGCTCTGAGCGCCTGAGTGTGGGCATACAAGCTTTTCCATGTCAACGCATGCTTGGGAATGGTGGCCGAGTCTCACACATGCTGGGGGCTGGGTGGCTTGCTGAACCATGACAGTCAGGTCTGTGTGGCTCTTCCAGCCCTGCGTTCAGTACGGACCACTTGGTAGGCTGAGGTCAGCCAGGGTAGCGGTCATACAGACACCAGCTATGGCTCCACCTTGGGCTCCTGCCCACGGAGAGGTGGCTGTGAGGACTTTGCTAGCACGTCCCTGCTCCCTGTGCTTCTGTGAGACGTGGATGTCTCTGGGTTCACAGGGGTGCGTACCCCTTCTCCATGGTGATGCATGCATGCAGCACTGCAGGCTGGTGTTATGAAGAACCAGGCTGCCTGGGTTTGAATTCCTAGCTGGGGGACCTCAGGCAAAGTTACTTGACCTCTCTGTACCTCGGTTTCCTCGTCTATAAATTAGAGTAATAGAGCCATTCTGCAGATCAAAGGGGACAAAACATGGACTGCTTTGTGGGCTCTGCACCTGTTCACTATAAGCAGCCCGTTATTATCACACACGCCTGGTACATGTGCACAGGTGTGTGGGGTGCCAGTGTGCACGTACAGGAGAGAGAGCTGGGTGCTTTGCTGTCCTGGAGTGCAGCAGAGAGAAAGGGGGCTCCTCGCCCCCTCACTTCTGCCCCCCTCCCGGCCCACAAGCCCCTTTGAGCCTCCCCCACTTACTGAGCCCCTGCTGGGAGCCTGTCCTGCCCCCCATCCTCTCCAGGCCCTCCCCTGTGAGGCTGGCGGGAGGGGTCCATAGTCAAGCTCCAGCCCAAGGCCTCCGTGGGGTGAGGGTGTAGGCGATCGGGAGAAGGGTGGCTTTGTGTCGAGGGCTGGGCCGGGCCAGCAGGCGCCAGCTCACAGACTCTGCCCCTCCCGGGGCCTCCCCCTGTCCCTCGGGCCTGTGCCTCTTCAAGAATGCAACGCTGCCATCCACAAGAAATGCATTGACAAGATCATCGGCCGGTGCACTGGCACTGCGGCCAACAGCCGGGACACCATAGTGAGGCTGGGCCCTGGGGACCGTGGCTGGGCCCGGAGGTGGATGTGGGCGCCCCCTTCCTGGTGGGGCTCCCCCTCCTGTCCCATCTTCCTAGTCTTCCCTTGCCTCCCTCCTTGCCTCCCCATTCCCTGGTCCCCGGGGCAGTCCCCAATCACCGGCGTGTCTCCATTGTGTGGGGTTGGGGGTGATCTGGGGTTGCAGAGAGGGCTGGCTCTGGCAGTTACCCCTGACCTATGACTGCCTTCCCCCCAGTTCCAGAAGGAGCGCTTCAACATCGACATGCCTCACCGCTTCCGGGTCCACAACTACATGAGCCCCACCTTCTGCGACCACTGCGGCAGCCTGCTATGGGGGCTGGTGAAGCAGGGACAGAAGTGTGAAGGTGCGCCCCACTGCGGGCCGGGCTGCCCCTCTCCCCCGCACCCTGCCTCTCGGGCCAGGGCTCAGCAGCCTGGGGGCACCTGCTCCCCACCCCACCCCGACTTCTTCCTGGCTGGATGGCAGAGACCGGGACCCGGGGTGAAGGCCAAGAGTCTTGTCTGCACTCGTTTGGGGCCCGCAGCCTCCCTGCTCTGCAGTTACTTGCTCCGTGGCCACCAAAAGGGGGCTCCACTCCTCTGAGCTGTATCCTCCGTGCCCTGAGGGGCAGTGGGCAGAAGGTGCTCCTTACATTCGAGAAGTGAGACCCCCCCGAGGAATAGCGATTTGCCTCGATTGTCCCTGGCATTCTCTGAAGGGTTCGGAGTGAGGTCCCATGGCTTCTGCCTTTCCCTTGTCTTTCGATCCTGAAAGATTTGCAGTGTTCATTTAGCTTCAGAGCCATGTTTCTGCAAAGACAGGGAGCCCCCAGGGTACCCCAAAGCCCTCCTTTCTCTTGCTCCCCTGCCTCTCCCCACCCCTTCCGGCCCCTGGCCAAGCCTGAGCCCGATGGCCCCGCTTCTCCTCACCCAGACTGTGGCATGAACGTGCACCACAAATGCCGGGAGAAGGTGGCCAACCTCTGTGGCATCAACCAGAAGCTCTTGGCTGAAGCCTTGAACCAAGTCACTCAGGTAGGCAGGCACTGTGGGGCTGGGGCAGTCACGGCTGATGGCTACTCTTGGGGAACCCCAGGAGGGGGCTTTTATACCTCAGACCTCACTTTGCAAGATCTGGTTCAAGCACTGAGGCAGTGCGCGCAGCCTCTGTGGTGTAGCCGTGAGGCAGTGCCCTGCAAGGCTGGAAGCCACATGCTGACCATGGGTCTGGATTCTGGGCTGGCCTGAAAAGGCCAACAAGCCCAAGAGCCTGAGGAGCCTGGAGGATTTGGGGAAGGGGATTGCGATGTGATGACATCTCGTCAAGGGTGTTTTCTTTCTGTCTGTCTCTTTTTCTCTCTCTGTCTTGCATGTAGATAGTGTAATTTAAATAAATAAATAATACAGGTAGCAGTGGTGGGTGAGTTTGTTCTCAGGAAGAATAAGTTATTTAAAGTTCTTTACTTAGGGGTGAACCCAGCCTCTGCCCCGCTGTCCCCTGTCGGTCCTGAGGGTGGAGTTATATTGAGTGTCCTTCTCTGGGCTGAGTTCTGACGATGATGTGACTGTCTCGCCCTTCCATCTCTGTCCCCTCCCCAGAGGTCCTCCCGGAAGTCAGAATCAAATACCACAGAGCCTGTAGGAATATACCAAACTTTCGAGAAGAAGCCAGGAGTCTCTGGAGATGACGCCCCAGGTGAAGCTGAGCCCCTTCCCTCGTTAAAGCTCCCGCTCCACACTCAGACACAGAAGGGGGCCTATCCTTTCTCCTGCTGTTGAGTGAGACCAGACAGGGCACTGCCTGTGGGGAGCGGGTCCCTTCCTCTCTGGGCTCCCTCACCCCAGGCCACCCCTGGCGCCGGGGGAGGGGAGCTTGGGGTTGAGACCTGAGCGGGAGGCACCATCTCTCAGCAGACAACAGCGGCACCTATGGCAGGATCTGGGAAGGCAGCAGCAGGTGTGACATCGACAACTTCGTCCTCCACAAGGTCCTGGGCAAGGGCAGCTTCGGGAAGGTGAGGAACTGAGTGGCCCACGGAGGCCCGAGGACCAGGGCTCAGCAGCCCAGGGCACCTGCTTCCCCCAACCCTGGCTGCCTCCAGGTTGAGTCTGGGAGTCTGGGTGGGCTGTGGCCTTTGTCCTGCCTCCCCTGCTCAGTACCCTGCCCACCCCGCAGGTGCTGCTTGCAGAGCTGAAGGGCAAGGGGGAGTACTTTGCCATCAAGGTCCTCAAGAAGGACGTGGTTCTGATTGACGACGACGTGGAGTGCACCATGGTGGAGAAGCGGGTGCTGGCGCTCGCCTGGGAGAATCCCTTTCTCACCCACCTCTTCTGCACCTTCCAGACCAAGGTGCCTGGGCTCCCTGCTCACTGCCTGCATACCCCAGCCCCTCAGCCCTCCAGCCCCCAGAGGCAGGGATACCAGACTCCTCAGGGCAGGGCCTTGTCTGCCTCCACCCACCAGGCTCCCTGAGGTCACCCCAGGACCTGTCCTGCCTCCTGTAGGGGCTTGACCCCAGTGACCCAAAGTGGGGATGCTTCCTGGCTGTCCCCTGGCCTCTGCTCATTGCCCTCCCCACCCCAGGACCACCTGTTCTTCGTGATGGAGTTCCACAACGGGGGCGACCTGATGTACCACATTCAAGACAAAGGCCGCTTTGAACTCTACCGTGCCACGTAGGTGGGGGCCCGGGTGGGGGCAGGACACTGCCCCGTGCCCACCGAGTCCACCCTCCCCCTGGAGAGGCCATTCTGGGCCAGAGCTGGGTTTGGGGAAGTTTGGGGATGCTTGGGGTTTTCTGCACCGTGCAGGGAGCCATGGGCGGCGAGCGAGGGCACACACAGACATGCCTGGTCCTGTGCCCTCCTTGGGCCTCCACCAGAGCGGCCTCGCAGATGGCCCCAGGCTAGCACCATGGCACCTTTGCCCGTTTGCACTCCCTCCCCCACTGCAGTGAGTGCACCGCTATGTGAGTGTGCGTGCTCGTGGCAGAGACCTCATGCCTCACCGTGCTGCCTGGCTGCCAGCCCCTGCTGGCCTGGTGTGACGCGCGCTTGCTCAGGACAGGCCCTGCACGGCAGCATTCACAGCATTTCCTGCCCGAGGTGGGGACGACCCGGGGAGAAGCAGAGGCTGCCGGACCAGGACAAGCTTCCGAACACGTCGTCTCTGTCTCTTGTCCAGGTTTTATGCAGCCGAGATCATCTGTGGGTTGCAGTTTCTACACAGCAAAGGCATCATCTACAGGTGCGGGGGTCGGGGAGGCAGGGGGGGCTCAACCTCGTCGCCTCCAGTGCTTGCAGGAGGCCCCTCTTCCCCCTTCTCCTCCTCGTGCTGTACTCTTGGTCTTGTCGGGCTGAAAATGGGGGCCTGGGGGGCAAGGTTGAGGAGAGGGACTGTCCCTGATGATTCTTTCCTGTCCCCTCCCCTCAGGGACCTCAAACTGGACAACGTGATGCTGGACCGGAACGGCCACATCAAGATCGCCGATTTCGGGATGTGCAAAGAGAACATATTCGGAGAGAACCGGGCCAGCACCTTCTGCGGCACCCCCGACTACATCGCCCCCGAGGTGAGGGGACCCGGCTAGCCCCTGCACAGCCCCACGCCTTTCCTCAACGGCGAGGCCGGGGGAGGCTCCCCAGGGCCACGCTGCCTGAGCAGAGCCCAGAGGGCCAGAGGTCTGGCTGGGCTGATGCTTGGGGGCCCCTCTTGGCTCTTGCCACCCCGGCTGGCTGACCCGCTGCCCCACCCCAGATCCTGCAGGGCCTGAAGTACACCTTCTCCGTGGACTGGTGGTCCTTCGGGGTCCTTCTCTACGAGATGCTCATTGGCCAGTCCCCCTTCCATGGGGATGATGAGGATGAGCTCTTCGAGTCCATCCGCGTGGACACACCACACTACCCCCGCTGGATCACCAAGGAGTCCAAGGACATCCTGGAGAAGGTGGGCTGGCCTGGGTGGGGCAGGGGCTGGGGTCAGGGGACATGGGGCCTCGGCCTCACTGCTACTGGGGGCACTGCCCTCTCTCCGTGTTCCCGGGAGCTCCAGCCTGGGTGCCATGAATGGAATCAGCCTGGCACGGCAAGAAGAGCTCTGGGCCATGACACAGATCTGAGGCCATACCCCGGCTCTGCCTGGGACTCCTTGGTGACTTTGAGAATGTCACCAAACCTGAGTCTGTCTCCTTTTCTGTGAAATGGGGTCAGGAGACAACCTATCTCAGAGCCGTTGGGAAGAGAATTGAAATGCTTGGTGTTCAGTCCTGTGCCACGCAGAGAGACAATACTCAACCAGTGGGCTCTGCTGTGACTCATACAGTCCGCCAGGCCGAGTTGTAGCAGGGCCTGTTTGCGGGGGCCCTGGGGACACAGCAGACTAAGAGCTGACCCTTCCTCGTCAGCCCTGGGCCTGCTGGGGTTTGCGGAAGCTCTCATGTCCCTGGCCCTTGGGGCTGACCAGGGTCCCTGCTGGGTTGCAGTTATTTGAAAGGGAACCAACCAAGAGGCTGGGAGTAACAGGAAACATCAGAATCCACCCCTTCTTCAAGACCATCAACTGGGCTCTGCTGGAGAAGCAGAAGGTGGAGCCACCCTTCAAGCCGAAAGTGGTATGTGACTCCCACCCTGCTGCCTTCCC